TCACTGAGTGCTGATGCACACCAGGCACTGTCCTGGGCACCTCCCATCACCCACAGAGGCTGCCCAGTTGCAGAGAAGCAAATTGGTTTAAATTCAGTGACACAGAAGATGAGTGCGTGAGCCACAACAACTTAAGAAATAATGCAAAACTTGAAATAATTTTTAAAACTCTTTGAAAGCTGCTCTTTTTAAAACTTTATTAATTTTAAAAGTCTGAATGCATTGTTTTCCAGAATAGATTCTTCCAATTTTCCTCTCTCTCCATACCCATCAAATTGTACAACTCCATGAAATCTGCTTTTTAATGGGAAATGACTCATTTAGGTTGGTATTCTGAATTTTAATGTGACCTTCAACCTCTTTTTTTTTCTTTGAAAGGTGTTATGTAACGGGCCAGGAACATGTGTTCCTATCTGCGTATCTGCCCTTCTCCTTGGGATACTCGGAGTAAAGAAAGTGATCATTGTCTACGTCGAAAGTGTTTGCCGAGTGGAAACTCTATCCCTGTCCGGAAAGATTCTATATTACCTCTCAGATTACTTCCTTGTTCAGTGGCCGGCTCTTAAAGAGAAGTATCCCAAATCTGTATACCTTGGGCGAATTGTTTGACAAATGACAACTTACATTTCAACTTTGCCAATTCCAATGACAGCATTAGAATTTTACTGTCAACAATAATATTTATTATGATCTTTTGTTTTAATATATAAACACCTTACATGTTTGCAGTACAGGTTTTTTAAAATCCTGAGAATTCTTGGTGATCAGGAGTAAAATGTACAGAGATAATCACACACAATCAACAGTAGCCATTAAATACTTCTGCCTGTTAGCATTCTGGAACAAGGCATGCATTGCAGAGCGGACAGGGGAGCGGGGAGTGGAGGGAGGAAACTGTGCAACAATGAATGAATAAAAACCCAACCTTCCTGTATACTTTCATCAAATACCAGTAAAAAAGATTAAACATTTATGCCTCCTGTGTGGTAATTAATTACTTTACCTAAAATAAGTTGGCCTTTATTCTTAATTCCTAAGAGAGAATCCTTGACATCCCCTGGATAGTTGAAATCACTATATTATCCAAAACTGCCAGTCAGCACATAGAATTTGTGCAAATTTGTACAGAGGCTATTCCTGGTCAACTCACCTCACAAGGGGGGCGGAGAATGGTTTAGTCAGTCATGCCTACCCAGCCAGGCCCTACTCATGTCTGTGAAATGAAACAGATGTAAACTCGGAGCATGGAAGCAGCTGGGACTTTCTGGATGGCAAGAGCAGCTCTTCTCAGAGGTGAAATGGGCTGAGGAGGCTGGAAGACCACACACCTCTGGAGACAGTAGAAATTGTCTTCTCAGACCTCTGTCCATTTGTATCCTTTCTGGTTATAATAAATCTGTAAAATAGAGACTTTGTATGAATCATCCCAGGGAGTTATTGAACCCACAGGAGTAGTTAAGGTACAGCAGACTGGTGTCTCCTGCTTGGCAGTCTGAAGGCCTGTATTCTTTTCTCTTGAATCTGCTGGCCTAGCACTGTGCAACTAGACAGTGAGAGAAGAGAGAGCTGATTGGAGGCAAGGGGAATCGTGTAGACGTGTAGGCTTATAGCTGGTGCCCACTGACCTAGCCTTGACTGGCGAGGGGTAGGAGACAAAAGGGGCCAGCTGGTTTAAGTAGAGAGAATTGTGGGATCTATTAACCTGGCCCTTGGTGGATGGAGATAAGAGCAAGTGCCAACGTGGAGTGGCTGTCAGTAAGGATGGGGAAGTGGAAAGGTAAAGACTACATCACATTTCCAGAGGAAAGCAGATTCATGCCCCTCTTTATCACACAATCAATAATAAAAGTGCCATTTACCCAAAGATACGATATGTCCTTGAAACAACCCTAATTCATGGAAATAGGTTTTAGGAGAAACAGGTAGAGAATGAGAAATGTTTCATTCTCGGATGCTACTTTGGTTATTGTTGTCTAATATGGCTAAAATGAAAGTAAGAGATGAGCTAAATTTGGATTCTGGGAATTCTTGATCAAGAGTCTGGTAGCCTAGTGGCAAGAAGCTGCATTGCAATCTTAGAGGCACACAGTTCGAACCCACCAGCTGCTCCACAGGAGAAGGATGGACAATCTCCTCCCTTGTGATTAACTGTCTCTGAAAACCCACAGGAGGGTGAGCTATGGGTTGGTTTTGACTCGACGGTACACAACAACATGCAGTCTTAGAACTTCTGTTGAAGAAGTGTGTTTCCAGATAGGGCTGCGTTTAGATTCTGGCAAGCATGAGGCACAGCCAGTAGCTTTGAAGCTGTTTTGGGTTTCTTCTTTTCCAGGTTATGTTTAATAGTGCATAGAGAAACTGTTTTTCCAAAGGACAGTTTTAAGGAAAGAGAAAGCCCATGTGTATGGCTTAGGGCAGGGGCCCCACAACTTAAGATGTTTTGACAAGGGGCCAGAATCTTCTGGTACCCACTCAAACCAGGGACCTAAATCATATGCATATGAATTGATAAAATAGCCAGGGGGCAAGACAAAGAGAAATTTGAATGAAAACTGGAATGTTTAAACGGGCTTTTTGTGAAGTGGTTGGGTTTATATGAATGTATTGTGAAAGGGCTATGAAGAAGAATGTGGCATCAGGATCAGAGGAAAACATCAATAACCTGCCAGTGATAACCTTGCTTGCTGAAAGTGAGGAGGATTTGAAACACTTGCCGCAGAAGATGAAAGACTACAGCCTTGAGCATGGATTACCTCTCAACATCTCCTCTCCTGACTGCTGGCACCAGGAGTACTAATTGTGAATCCAAGTAAGATGAAGTTACTGACAATTTCAGTCTTTTCTCCATGTATCATGATGTTGCCCATAGATTCAATGGTGAGATTTTTTTTTCTTCTTGACATTGAAATATAATCCATATTGAAGGTCGTAGTCTTTGATCTTCTGTAGTAAATGCTTCAAGTCCTCCTCACTTTCAGCAAGCAAGATTGTTTCATCTGCATAACATCATGTGTTGATGAGTCTTTCTCAGATCCTAATGCCATATTCTCCTTCGTAGAATCAGCTTTTCAAATTATTTACTCAGCATACAGATTGAATAGGTATGGAGATGGATACAACCTTGACACACACCTTTCTTAATTTTAAACCATGTAACAGTTACCCACAGTGGACAGTGTTTGGTGGCACTCCTTGGTTAAAACAAGCTTGGAAGCAAGAGGGGCATTCACTTCCATCAATAGCTTGCCTCCCGAAACCGTATGAACAGGAGAAAGGGTGAAAGTCATGCATGCAAGTGTCAAGGACTTTCGTTCATAGGTTCGCTATGAGTCGCCTACGACTCAACGCCAAGCAGCAACAACAACAGTGTTTTCTTGCTCTGTTCATACAACAGCCTCTTCATCTAGAAAATTCTGAAAACAACAAGAGAGGAGCAAATCATCACATACAAAAATCCTTAGTAAAATTAAGGGGCAAACAATGAAAGTTATACAAGTGTTCAGGTCTTTTCTTCATAGGGTCGCTATGAGTTGTCTACAACTTGACAGCACTTCACAACAACATAAGAGAGCTCTATTGGCTTAGTGGATAGAAAGTTATGCTACCAAGCCAAAGGTGGCCCTCAGGCCTGGTTTCAATTGTTTTTGGTCAAACATTTTTTTAAGTGTTATAGCACTGGTCTGTCTATTTGCTGATAGAGGTAACTTGTGGTTGCTGTGATGCTAAACACTGTGACACTGACATGTCAAATGTGATAATGGTTACCCATGGTGGACAGTATTTGGTGGAGCTTCTCAATTAAAAATAAGCTTGGAAGCAGGCATGGCATCCACTTCCAAAATAGCTTGCCTCCAGAAACTCTATGAACCTGGAAACGATGAAAATTATACAAATGTTCAGGTCTTCCATTCATAGGATCTCTATGTGTTGTGTCTATGACTTGGTGGTACTTAACAACAACAACAACAATTTCTCCTCGGAAACCTTAGAAGCCAGAAAGCAGTATAAATGACAGTGTAAAGTGATGAAAGCAAAAATTTTTCCAATCAAGAATTCTATAGTTAGCAAAATGGTCCATCAAAACTGATGGTAAATTAAGACATTTGTTGTTGTTGTTGTTGTTGTTGTT